TAGGGGTGGACAAAATTACTTGTCATGTGGCATGTATTTTCTACTTGATTCGTATTTAGTTCTTAAAGTGAAATACTTGTTTTGTTCAACTCGACTTGTTATTTATTTCAATTACTTACAAGTATAAGACAAGTATCAAAAACTAAAATGAAAACAACTACTTGACATTGTTGGCTTGTTACTTGTAACTTATTATTTGACCTATTACTCATTTTTATTTCTGGAAAAAAAATTAAATTAAAATCAGATTACTTTTTTATATGATAAAAATGAATTGAAAATGATTGATTATAGAAAAATTTTAGATTCTTTTAAAAAATTATATTTATTATATATTGACTTAAGACATATGAAAAGTAAAGAACTATTCTTTATTAAAACAATTTTAGATTAGAATTGTAACTAACTAAAATTTTCTTAAACTCATATACAAGATTTAAGTAGCTTAAATTGATAAATTATTATTAAATAACTTTATAATTATTAACAAACTAATTGAGAAATAACAAATAGTAAAACGGGACAAGTACTTACAAATATATCATTTTTAACAAGTGTTCAAAAGTGTAAAGACTTGTTTTTAATAAACCAAGAACGAATTCAGAATTTCATTATTCTAACAAGTCAAACTAATTACTAAGTAAGCCAAAAATGACAAGGATGAAATATCCGAAAACATAGAATAAGCGTCACAACATATCAGGCTACTCTCGGCACAACATACCCAGGAAAAGGAGTCTGAGGAAATGCATATCAGGCTACTAGCGGCACAAAATTATATATGCTCATGGAAGATGGGCTGTTTTTAGCTAAAACAGAGAAATTGCTCTTATTACAGATATCACATATTACGTGGATCTAAGAAGGTGATAGCAACAGGGCGTTACTATCACAGATTAATTGCAACAATAAGATTAATAAATCATATTCACTACCAGCTTGATGAGTGCAATAACCATGTGAAAAATAAGGTTTGGATGAATAATTCTTGGGTTCATCCCATATGATGAACCTCTAAGTTCACCAACCAATAAGATTATGTTATTTTATATTCAGTATCTTTAAAAAAAAAAAAAAGAGTATTGTCGAGTTGTATTATATTTTTAAAATTTAAAGATAAATACAAATAAAAAATAATAGTAGTTGCAGTAAAAAAATAATTTTTTTTAATATTATTATCAAAACACTAAACTCTAAATCCTAAATCTCAAAACCTTATGTAAACAAACTTTTGGATAAACTTTGATCTTTTTAAAAAATATTTTTAATACCGTCAGCAAAGCACTAAACCCTAAATCTTAAACCCTAATTCATTGGATAAACTCTAAACCTTTGGATGAGTCATAAATCCTAGGGTTTAAGATCAATCCAAGGGTTGAGGATTTACCCACGGGTTTAAGATTTACCCAAGGGTTTAGAGTTTATGATTTAGGGTTTATGGTTTAGTGTTTTGCTAACGGTATTAAAAACATTTTTTAAAAAAGTTTTTTTGTTTGCAACTACTATTATTTTTTATTTCTTTTTATCTTTTAATTTTAAAAACATAATACAACTCAATAATATTTTGTTTCATTTTTTAAAAGATACTGAATATGAAATAATGAAATTATATTGGTTGTTGAACCTAGAAGTTCACCCTAGGGGGTGAATCCAAAAATTTCTTGGCTTGGATCCGAAGCATGTGCGTTGATCACTTTACTAAGCGGATGTGCATTGTGGGTGTAATTTTTATATGGATAGTCAGTTTTCTTACTTTTATAAGGAACAAAGATTTCACAATGAAAATTAGAAAAAAAAATCTAAGATATTTATGATGTTACCCAATCTATCTGAACCTTCAGGAAATTCTTCGTATAGTAGAAGTGGAAAGTGAAATTTGGACGGGAGCTCAATTATTGCCTAATGGAAATCAAGGGACTATAAGTCAAGTGAATGCGGGCATAGTAGGGCACACTATGGATCATACCAAAACATGTTATATAGATGGAGCATGGAGACATGAAGACATTTTCATAGGACAAGGTTGGTTCTACCGAGATGAAGAGTCAACAGACGTTATGATGGGGGCAATGAATCTTCGACGAAGCCTAGCTATCACCTTTGCATGCTGAGTGTGAAGCATTGATTCGGGCAATGGAGTGTAAGAAGACCCTGTGGATCTCAGATGTAGTTTTTGCGACGGATTGTTCTCAATTGGTGATGATGGCGTCGATACCTGAAGAATGGCCAGCATTACTACACATATGGAAGAATTCACGCGCAGTAAGACTTTCTTTTCCAATTTTCGAATCAGACATATCTCGAGGACACATAACACTATGGCAGACAAATTGGCACGTGGTGCAAGGAATTTCCATTCAGCTATGCTTTATGTCAATTCAATCTCTCTAGTCTAATTATCCAGAACATGAGGACTAGTTACTTAGTTTTTATATTGTTGTCGAAATTTTTTTTACATTTTGGTTAAGATCCATCTAAATTAATAGTAAAAAACTTGAATTCTTTCTTTTTATATAAGATGATATAACTTTTTTTTTTTTGAATAAAAGGCTGAGATGATATAACTTGATAAAACATTATTTTATTTATCGGTCTCTGTGTCGTGTTAGGGTTTATTCAAATGACTTGGATGTCAGTGTCTGTAGTCATAGTCTTGTAGAACCTCCAAAAATCGTGACAGTGTATCTTTTAGTTGATAAATCAATGAGACACTCCAGCTACGTATGTAGCTTATCCAAACTGGATACTCTGAAACCAATTTAAACGACAACCAAATGTTTAGTCACCAATAGAATCCTTCACTTAATTAAAAAATAAGAATCAATCATGAATATTCGCAAACGCCAACGCAGTTGACAAGACCCTTGTTTGTCCGAATGTCAATTTAATTTAATTCTCTTTTATCTTTCTTTGAAGTGTTCATTCGATTTCATTATGCTCTACAACTTTATCATCTAAGTGATTATATAGTCTAAATGATAACGTAGTTTTAATAATAAAAGTGAGGTGGAACATTGTTTTTCCTTGTTGACGATAATTGTTAAAGATATAAGGAATTTATTCAAGTCAAAAAACCCTAAAAATACAGATTATCGTGCTATTTTTATTCAACATTTCGGGGGATTAACGTTTTGTCTGGATGTGCTGGAAACAGATGAATGAAAACAGATGAACCTTACACCATTGGGATACTTCAAATAAACTAGCATACATATAGGATACAAGTTAAGAGTATTTTCACTGGTTAATTTTTTTCTTCAAAATTTGACTTTCTTCAAAAAATTAAACATATTTTCTAATGGTTTGTTTTATTTTTTCTATATAACAAAAATATTTGAAGTTTATTCTATCACTATTTTATATTTTTTATTAACTATTTTATCCCAGCTATTTTGTTTTAATAATCTAAAGCAATTACTTTTATTATATGTTAGACATTATCATATGACACTATAATTACACATAGCATAAATAAATAAAGAACAATAAATTTTATAAAATAATACCAATTATATATTTATCACCAGGTTAAACAAAGTATTCTGAAACAAGAAATATCGGACATCAATATATTAATATTCTTCGTTATTAATATCTAATTCGATAATTTTAAATTAATTGGGTTATATTAACACTTATAAATTGGTTTAAATTAAAAAAAACAAAAAATAAATTAAGAATTAATTTGTAATTAAAAAGTTCAACTTCAAAATGATGAACTGAAAAAAAAGCATCAATTGAGATGGTATTAGACGCCCATCTATAATCCACATCTATTTAATCTCTATATTTTTTTCAAAAATAGAAAATCTTTATTATAGAAGTGAATTTGCTATAATGTATGATTCTATAACAGAATTCTTCTATTCATAGGGAAAATATTGAGAAATGTTATTTCAATATGTAAATATAGAGGCAAAAATAGTATTTTCTTATATTTTCTTTTAAAATAAAGAAATTATACTATAGCATACATTAGAGTAAATCTACTTCTATAATAGAAATCTCTAGGTGTCAAAAAAAAAGATAGAAATCTCTATTTAGAGGAAAATATAGAAATGTACATTGAAGATGTTCTTAGCTGTTAAAATACCGTTTTTGACGTAGAACAAACATCCATGTTATTGTTAGCGAAAGTTACTAAAGTATCCATGTAAGCATTAGCGAAAAGTAATTTGAAAATCTTACTGTTATAAATATTTTGAAGGAAATTAAGTGACATTATCCAATATGAAGGATTACTTAATAATTCAGAGATTCAGGTATACTTATACTGATGATTAGCTAGTAGTATATACTTTGATGTCAATACAAATATTGTTAAAACTGGGAAAGAGATTATTTTCTTTTGATCAAAGAGTGGGAAAGAGATTAAGAAAAAGAAGAGTATCCCAGAAAAATGCGGGGGACCTCGATGGGAGGAAATATTCCTCGGCATAATGAGAGAGAATGGGAGCTCGATGGATGAAATGTTGATATTGAGGATAAAAGGTGTCGGATATGAAGAGGCAAAACTCAGCCCAGCCTGTCTTATTATCTTTTTCCCAAAACAAACAAAATCATAATGCAAACAATAAAAAGAACTTTTACTGTTCTTTTGCAGACTCGACAGTGTCACTAACTCACTAGCTGTACTTGTATGTATGGTAATAATTTTCTAATCTCAAACGGCGGTCGGGGGAGCTCACTGTTTCAGTTTCACCATGTGAAGGAATAATAACTATGGGCTTTTTTAAAATAATAAGAAAGATGTAGCGAATATATGCTATTCAAAGGCCCAATAAGTTAATGGCCCAGCCCAAACGTAACGGACTGTGAAAGCGAGAGAGAGAAGAGCGAAAGCGTGTTTCCTCCTTCCTTCCTTCCTTCTCTGAATAGAGAGAGAGAGATCAGGGAACGAAGGAAGGGAGAGAAAATTGATCTAAAAATTAAAAGGAAAAGATCGTAAAAATCGGAGATAGAGAGATAGAGATCTGTTCGTGTGTGGGTGGGTAGGAATGATGTACGTGAGAGCGTTGCCGACGACGGATGTAAATCGGAACACGGAATGGTTCACGTATCCAGGGGTGTGGACGACTTACATCCTCATCCTCTTCTTCTCATGGCTCCTCGTTCTCTCCATCTTCAACTGCTCCCCTGGCATGGCCTGGACCACCGTCCACCTCGTCCATTTCGCCGTAAAGATCTCAATTCGATTCAATTCAATTCAATTCGATTCAATTCATGACCTGCCTAATCAATCTTGTTTGTTAATTAGGTTACGTATCATTTGTTTCACTGGAAGAAGGGAACACCGTTTGGGGATGACCAGGGGATCTACAATAGGCTGACTTGGTGGGAACAGATTGATAACGGCAAGCAACTCACTCGCAATCGCAAGTTCCTCACTCTTGTTCCCGTTGTCTTGTAAGCTCCCTCTCTGATGCCTTTCTTTCTTCTTTAATTTTGCCTAACCAAATAGATAGGTCAATTGATTGGGAACCTGCTGCTGCTTGCATGTGTATTATTATTATCTGACCCTCTTCCTTTGTGCCTATTATATTACACCTTTGGCCTCTATTTCTGTTCACAAGTGATCCTTTCTTTCTTTCTTTCTTCCTCTTTGTGTGCCTAAAGCATTATGTGCTTCAGGCTTTGTATAAGCCTTTGCAATGTTATTTCCAAAATAGTCTCAGAAGCATTGTCTCCTTCCTTTCCTTTGCGAAAGAGATTGGAGTCTCACTTGGGTTGAGAGCTATTAGAACATCAGCCATATTTATTTTATTCACTTGCTCTTTTTTTTTTGTGTGCATTCATTCTCCATTGTGTTATGTCAATCTCATTCGTTAGAATTTAGCGTTGCTGCTCAGGCTTCCCACATAAAGCTCTAAGGAATATGAAACCATTCTTGTATTCTCTTGTGTCGTGGGATGGGATTACACAATTATAGATAAAGTATGCTTGGACAGGTTTCTTAGTGTTGTTTGTGGATTACTTGTTTCGTCTTGTGTGGATGGACAAGACAATATAGCTATAGTGTTAGGATGTTTGGACATAACTATTTTATTCACTTCCTCTTTTTTTTGTGTGTGCATTCATTCTCCATGTTTTATGTCAATCTCATTCCTTAGGATTTAGCTCCTTTTAGCCTTAGATTTAGCGTTGCTGCTCAGGCTTTCCTGCGAAAGCTCTAAGAAATATGAAACCATTCTTGTTTTCTCTCGTCTCGTGGGACGGGATTACACAAGTATAGATCTTATATGCTTGGACAAGTTCCTTAGTGTTGTTGCTCAAGATTCCCATATGGATTCTTCTGGCGATCTTAAAACCATTCTTGTTTTCTTCTTGTGTGGTGGGAGTGGGACAAGACAATATAGATATACTCTTAGGATGTTTGGACATAACTACCATTATTGTTGGTGACAAGTCTTATAAGTGAAACTTGTGTTTCTTTTTTACTCATAGGTACTTGATAGCATCGCACACGACAGACTATCAAAATCCCATGCTGTTTCTGAACACGCTTGCTGTATTTATAATGGTGGTTGCAAAGTTCCCGCACATGCACAAGGTTCGCATCTTTGGAATCAATGCAGACCAGTGAAAGCACCCAATTGCGGTTAAGCTATGAGATACGATGTGGTAAATCAATCTGAGCATGATGCCTTTACATGGAAATACATATGCCACTTTTTTCTTCTTCTCCTTAGATTTTTCTGTTTTTTCCTTACTAATGTAAAAACCAAATAAGTCATTCAAGAGTGGCTTTGTAAGTCTGAATCCGTGGTTTAGTGATTTCTTTCAAAAATCATATACTAATATACATAATATACAGTCGACATAGTCACTTTAGACTTTAGAATTGTTTCTATGCATTTCATCTGAATCATTCCTTTCCATAAAAATAGTATTTTTTTCATTTGTTAACACAAACTTATATAATAATTAAGTTTATCTCATAAGCGTATTATTTTGTTATTTTTAATTTTCAATACAATAAAACTAATAGCAATTTAATTACTTCAATTATTTTAATTTTACAATTTTCTTCTGTTAAATAATATAAAATGTATAAAACTACAAAAGTAAATTAGTAAAACAATTTTTTTTTCAAAATATTTATTTTCGTAGTAAAGATGTAATATATATTTGTACACTTATACGTAGAATATGATTGGATAGTAGTTTTGTAGTAAATATTTGCTCTAGTTTCTAAATGTTAATTTACTCTACATTCCGCTATAAATTTATCAATCAAATGAAACACATTTGTTTTTTCATTTACTCTAGTCACGGTTTAAATAGAAAAAATATGCACTCAAATTTACTCCATGTTTGTTGAGATAACAATATAATAATAGGTTACTATCCACGCATTTGTGCGGAATGAGGATTATATATATAAATTATTTTATGTCTTATTTTTATTTTGTGTTTTTATATATTATAAAATAAATATATATTGAATAGTTGCAAAAGCTGTAACTATTATATATATAATTAATTTAGTGAGCATTAAAAAATAATTATATTTGTCTTTTTACAACCTCTCTATATAAGTAAATCTAATTTAATAAATGATATTAACATATATATATATATATATTATATACTTTTAATTTGGATATCCAATAAATGTAGCTTCAAACTTACATAGTTCTATAATCATTTGTATATTCTTATAATAAAAATTTTAAAATATTGATAACATCATGTTTAATGTGAGAGATTTAATATTTACACTATTTATCATCGTCTAAAAAAATTATATTCAAAATTTGTCATTAAATTATTACGTTCTCAATACTTGTTCAATGCAATTTTAGAATTAAATATTTATATATTTTTAAATGGTATTTAGTTTAATTTAAACATCACTATATATATACATCTAATTTAAATATCTATTAAATGATAATTCTTACTCATTAATTATATTTGTTTGTATCGTGCTATAACAAAAAAAATTAAACAATTAATTAAAAATATTATATGTGAAATTTAAATTTTTTTATTAATTTATAGTCGTTTTAAAAAATTCAAAATATAACATATATAAGGAAATCTAATTGACTTATTCTTGGATTCATCCCCTAGGGTGAACCTAGAGGTTCACGAACCAATAGGATGGTGTTATTTCATATTTGATATCTTTTAAAAAGGAAACAAAATCTTGTCAAATTATATTATGTTTTTAAAATAAAAATAGAAAAAAAATAAATAAGAATAATAATATTTTTAAAAAACGAAAAAAAATTCTATAAAAATATATTTTAACATTATATTATGTTTTAAAATAAAAGATAAAAATAAAATAATAACAGTAATAATTGCAAAAAACAATTTAAAACAAAAATTTTTTTTAATATATCTTTAAAATAAAAAATATGTTTAAAATAAAAATAAAAAATAAATAAAAAACAGTATAATTAGTTAGTATTAATTTACCCAAGGGTTAAGATTTTTCCAAAGGGTTTATGATTTACCCAAGATTTTAGGGTTTAGGATTAGGGTTTAGGGTTTAGTATTAGGGTTTAGGGTTTAGGATTAGGGTTTAGGGTTTAGTGTTAAATATTTTTTTTTATTTTTTTCTATTTTTATTTTAAAAACATAATATAACTTAACAAGATTTTATTTTCTTTTAAAAAGATATCAAATATGAAATAACACCATCCTATTGGTTGGTGAACCTAGAGGTTCATCCTAGGGGGTGAACCTAAGAATAACTCAATGTAATTTTTGTAATATAGTTAATGTTATTGTTTAATTTATTTTCACAATATAAATTTAACAAAAAGAGTAGAGCCTATACAATCTTTAATCATATCTTTCATATTCAAATCATTAATTGTCATATATATATTATAATCGTATTAGGTAATTCCATAAAATTTATTTAAGAAAGTAATGATTAGCATTAATAATAGTTTTATGTTTACTTTAATAAAATACTAGATGATAATCCGCCCCATGCGCACAATGAGTTTTTTTTTTTAACTATGTTGTGTATATATATATTATGCTATCAATAATTTTTTTATATTTAATTAGGGATGGACATTTGGGTGCCATTTGGTTCAGTTAGATTATGCTTGGTTTAGATCTTTGCGGTTTGGTTCGAATCTTTGTAGGTTCGGATTAGGTTTAGGTTCAGATAACCTTTTTTTTTTAAGATTAAAATTCATATATACTTTAAATTTTTCAAAATCTAAAAATAAAAATAATATATAACAAATAAATTTTAAAAATGAATGCCAAAATATTAAACTTAACTTAAAATTTGTTTATCTTAAATATTTGGACAAAAAATTGAAAAATATTTCAAATATTTTTGGTATTTGGAGTATCGTTTAGCTATTTTAAAATTTTACATGTAACTATTTTATATATATATCTAAGTATTTTGGAAAATTTTAAAAAATCTCATGAATTTCGTATATTTTTAGATGTTAAATTTAAAAATAATTAATATATTTAAGTATATAAATCTGGTTCGAGTACACTCGCATACTTGAGATATTTCGATTCAGTTTTAATTCTCTAGATACCAACATTTCGAATCCGTTTGGATATCTAATCAATTTTGGTTAAAAATTTGTACTACTTTTTGGATTAGTTGGACTTTAACTAATGACTTTAGCTTTACTTGCTATCTACAATCATATAAATCACCAATCATGTTTTAAGTAGTTTTTAAAGCTAAAGTAAAAAAAATAAAAAAGTGGTTGTAGGAGTTTTATTTTTTAAAGCAAAAAAATATTGATGTAGGATTACTGTAGGAATATCTTTCCTTTTTCCATTTTTCTCATTTAATTTCTACAGCTACATTAGATACAACTACATCCAAAAATTCTACAGATTATTTCTACGGTAGAACTTTTACAGTTACAAGCCAACCAATCGCCCCCAATATATAAGGGATTTATGTTATTTTTTCGTTTACTCTTCTTTTCAATACTTACTTTTTCACCATTTTCTTTTACTCTAGTTTACCCTATGAATCCAATCGCAACCTTAATGATGTTGATATTTAATTTTGTTTGCATTTAATGTTGAACCGATGTTAAATACTTGTTTTGTTTCATTATAAATGTGATTTTAGAATTGTGCACACGAATTAAGGAAACAATTAATTTTATATATTTCCTATATAAAAGAATTACATATACAAATAACAACATTTTAACCAATAGAAAATAAATTACATAATAAAGTTATTCTACAACGATACTTAATATAAGATAGATGGAGAAACAAGAATAAGTTAATAATTATTATCAGAATATTTTTTTAATATTATCAGACCATTTAAAACATGCACAAAACTTAAATATGGATAACTCTGTTTTCAAAATCTAGGAGTCTTGAGATTAGGGGTGGCATTCGAGTTAAGTTTGGGTTCGAGACTAAAGATTTAATTGCCAAAACATGTTTCAATATTCTTAACTGAAAAATAATCTCCTATACTCCTCTCAAAAACCAATTTGATAGAACTTTATTTTAACTATCGTTTAGATAACAACAAAAAAAGATATCAGATTATCCAGACCTAAATCCAATCTGACCCATTGATTTCACGCGGATCCACTTTCTAAAGGAAACTCAACATGTATAGTTCGCGGATCCACTATCTAAATTGCTTGAAAATCTCTAAACTTGGTGTAACTGTAAAACTTTGTATAACTTAATAAAAGTTCAATTAATATAGAGTATATCTTTTACAGAAGCAATTCTTAACTGTTATTTTATTATATCAATTTATTTCTGTTATTTTTTAGACACATATGTTGTTATTGATATATTTATTGAAGTTAATTAAAAAATATAGAGAAAAAGCTAGAGAAATTACATAACTTGGTAAAATTTCAACTAATTTAGTAAAAAATGGAGAAAAATTACATGTAAACATAAAACTAATCTCTAATTTGCTACTCACGAACAGAAAAATGTATTTCATTGTAGAAACTTTAAACTACATTTTGCGAGAACAATGGACACATCTCCACTTTCTTTTTAATCCTTCCACAGAGATTACAAACACTGGTTCTTCTATTTTGGAGCACCAACAAGCATATGAGATACTAGCATCTATTCTTTCAAATTAAGAATAAACATCTCAAGTTTATCATATTCCCAATGGCCTAAGAGTTTCCAACTATCGATCATGTGAGACATCTGATCAAAATGTTCACGAGTAAAACCATGATAGTTGTGAATCAATTCTCTATCATCAACGCCAGATGCTAAGTTTATCATACTATCTACATATTTGGCCAACAAACACCATTTCTCACCAGCATAATGTATTTCTTTTTCTTTCCTTCATCAACTAAATAGAGCATGAAAAACTCATACATACCTTGCAAATAAATAGCCTTTGGATTACCCAAATGGTAGCGTCTAAGTCTTAATTTTCTAACAACATTGACCTCCTCTATTCAATTATTTATGAAAATGAGATTTGCAGATCTGTAAAAGTCATCTTCTCTGCCAATTGCATTGAAACCAATTTTAATGTGTTTAGTTTCATTAGCTAATAAATAATAATATTATTTAATAGTTAATAAATAATATTATATATAAATATGAGTTTGGACACATTTGCATAAAAAGTATTAATCTCTAATCTTAAGAAGACATCAAAAACTAACATGATAAATTTATTTTTTTATATATATTTTTGCTTATATTTTGCTTATATTTTGCTTATATTTTACATATGTTATATATTTTATAGTTGTTTTTGTAAAACTAAATCTCCTTTATTTTTTTTTATCTTTTATCTATCTTATTAAAGTAGAAGTATCTTTAAGAATTGTATGGAAACATAGGCAATAAACAAAAGAATATAATGTTGTAAGAGTATGGATAGCAGTATT